AAAAGAAAAGAAAACTGATTTAGTATAAATGACGGGGTAACTCGAGGCCAAGCATTCACCAAAGGATAAAAGGTTTTTGTTATTATTCAAGTTTCCTTCAAAATAGACTTTCTAATTTCTTACTATTGGTTCTTTAGAGGACTCACATTAAAAGTTTATCACGCACAAGATGGTCTTCCAACGGAAACGTCGACACCTATTTGCATATTGCCGAGAGAGGAAGGAGAGCATCGAGCAAGACAAACTGAAACAGGATCGAACAGAAATACGGCTTCAGTAATACAAGCAAGGCAAGACAGACTTTCTATTGAACTTATATTTCCAATGTATGACTATTTTGTGCTGCCAAAAATTGTTCAGATTTTATAGACTTTTGAGAGGTATACAAGGGAAGCGAAAAATTGTTTTAGTTTAACTGATGGGGTCAGTCGATGCCAGGCATTCGTCAGAGGATAAAAATATTGTTGTGTTTCAAATTTCTGACAAAATAGACTTTCTAATTTCTTACTATTGGTTTATTAGAGGATTCACATTGAATGATAATGGACAACGAGATGGTTTTCCAACGGAAACGTCGTCCCATGTTCGTTTATTGCCGAGAGCGGAAGAAGAGCAACAAACAAGGCAACCTGAAATAGGATCAAACAGTAATATGGCCTTAGTTATACAAGCAACGTAAGACATACTTTCGATTCAACTTCTCTTTTTCCATTCTATGATCATTTTGTACGGTCAAAAAATTGCCCATATATTCAATGTAGGGCAGCAAACCTTACTTTTTTACAGGAAACAAGCCTTATTTTATCTGTTAAATCGTCATGTTTTTTTCTAGCCTCCAAAATATGAAAAAAGAAGATGATTTATAAGTGGACATGGAGTCAGGTGATTCGGTCATTGGAAAAAACAAAATGGCCTGGACCAGAGGTGCACCTAAGACTTTTAGCGCTGCAGACGAAGTACCAAAAAGACCGAAAGATAACATAACATATCCTTATGATGTCATGTCATGTCATGTCATGTCATGTCATGTCATGTCATGTCATGTCATGTCATGTCATGTCATGTCATGTCATGTCATGTCATGTCGTCTAGAAAATCGTCTCTTAAATTGTCACTAAAAGTGTTGTCTAGAAAACTCCCTCTAAAGGAAATATAGTTAGACAGGATTTCTTCATTTATAAGACAAGTGAGGTCGATTTGAAACATTTCGTATTTCCTATACTCTACCGTCATTTGTAAGAGAAATCCAAGAGGTGATAAATCGTACTCTCCCTTTCCATTGCTGAAAACGTTTCACTGTAATTTTGTATCGGTATATGCTTTTAAGAAAGAACATTTATTCTTGAGATTTTGATAGAAAAATGTCAAATTAGGTATCTTTTTCTGTGTGTCGCATTCTGCAAATAGAAGACTTCTTATAGGAAATAAGATGTATGAAAACCATGCTTTTTTCCAAACAGAATAGAGTATATGAATATACTACTGGCAACAACGATCAGACACAGTTTCCTTGCTTTCTTGATCACAGGTTAGCGATTGCCTAGAAAAATGCAGAAATAGACGGGAACAAACATATTCGACTTTCGTTAGCAAATTCAATTTCTCCCTTCCTGCTTTAAATCAAGCAATTCAAATAACTGTTGCATTTTGAGTTCCACCCCCAATTAAATATAATCTCTTTATAAATTGATTATTTCTCTTTAAGCAGGAGACTTTTCAAAATTTTTCCGATGATAAACCACTTTCATATTTAACAAAAAGAGCGTTGATACACTCAGAAGATTTTTGTAAAGAAAACCACAACACAGCCTAAGATTTTTATCAGATTTCAGTATAAAAATTAGAAGCACAGAGCTTTACGTGCTCAAAATTCAAATTTTTTCGGGTAAGGTGGTATTTTTTCGTGAATTCGCTTCATAGATTGAAGATATCTATCATGCACAAATGATTATAAACTTATTTTCCATATTATGCACAAATGATTATAAACTGGACATAACGCAAGGACTCGGAAAGCTATTAACCAAAAATAATGATTTAATGCTGATCATATCCTTTCTTGAAGTTGCATTACCTGTTTTGAAGACAAATCTAGGAAAATATCGAGCTCATGACATACTACAATCCCGGACAAAAATGTATAGAAAAAATGCAATTTTTGTAATTTTCTACTTTACCTTGCCCCTGTACATTTGAATCGCCCCTTTTCCCCGAAGCAATGTTGGATTTGTAATTCTATCATTTCTCCTACAAATACATGCATTCAACATTGAATTGGGGTAGGGGGGAAGGTTTCTTTTTATAGGAAAGTGAATGCATAAGCATTCCTTGAAAAGTCTCAATCATTTTTGTCCGAGATTGTAGTAGAGGATCTGAAACAAATAAGTTATTTCAAAGTAATAAAAAAATGCCTGAACATTTGGGAGTTTTGGGAGAAGCTTTCGCAGAGGGTTTGACGAGAGAAAGTGTAATGCTGATCGAATGAAATTTTATCTTACGAGGTTAATCTAACGAGGGATGTTTTGGAATTTGATTTCGCTAGGGGTTCTTATTGTAGCTTACTTCTGTTATTCTCATTTGGGTGTCAATTGTCATGCTTCAATTTGGTATTTAAGTCCTAATGTGCTTTTTGGATGATTGGAAATAATAGAGAAGAAGGAGTTCTGTAGTTTGGGCTTCTGCACGAAAGTGTGGGCCCCCTGACTCGGATGGGTGTATTTAATTGCCTTGGGTCAGGATTATCGTGCTTACTTCGTATGCTGTTCTCATGCTGCTCTCTTCTTCCGTCCCTCCCTGCTCTTTTGATATCAAGCGTAATGTGCTTTTTCAAATCCTTAATTATTCTATTGTATTAAGCTAGAGCCTGTTTACATCACGTCATTTATTTCAAAGTTCTTGTTATTTTTCGTTTAGGAAAGACTAGGCTCTTATTTCAGTCATGTTTTCTCTTCCCCTCTCTTAGGTATCTAAGGTAAGGCTAGTGCATCGGCTTTATGGTGGGGAAAAGTGGACTTTTCTTGTCCATTCCCTGCTCAGAACCTTAAGCTATTTGTACTTAAGTCTATTAAGCTTTATCAAAATACAGCTTATAGACATCAGCCATTTGTAGACACTTTATAAACATATACACATATAAAACAACATGTGGAATTAGGAAGATCAGTTTGGCCGGAAAGAACAGTTTAGTCGCCGTTTGGGTTTATCCTCAATTTCAGATACGAACAATGCTTCATTTAGCAACAATAATAATATGCTTTCAGACCTGTTAATCCCATCCTCCGCCCTCCGCTTAAAAACCTTGGACGAAATAGTTGCAAATTAAAGAAATCGTTTCGCAAATATGTTGAACAAGCTTGTAGAAAATTAAAGGGTTGGAGCCACTGGCGGTTCCTTGTAGCCCCTGGTGTTCTTTACCGGCCCATGAAATGTAGAGCCCATGAAATAGCGGTCCACTGCAGCTTTTGGGGGTGCCTGATGACCCCTGGCCACCCCTAAAGGGACTTGTGGCGAGCCCTGGTATGAAAAAGCTTCGGAAAAGGGATTTTGTTGTTGTAGTTGTACTGCAACATTTTCTGGTTTTGATTTTTGAGCGCGATTCGTGACTTGTGCAGAGGCCGAAATTAAAGCGAAGCTTTTACGATATTATTTATCAAAATGGGACTGATTGAACAAGTCAGATTAATGCACGAAAATGGACTCCACGCAGATATAAAATGTCTGGTAAGGTTATTTGATTTATTACTGCGCATCTTCAATGTTTTGTTGTGGTCGTCCAACTATTGGTCCAGGCCTAGAGATTTGCCAATCTCAACAGCTGCTTTGTACATGGCGATAATTTTTTTGCGAAAGATTTTTGTCAGGAGAAAAATATCTTTTCTATCATTCATAGACGATCTATAATAAGAGAGGAGAAGTATCGAATGGGAGTAAAATGCATAACAGGGGGAAAGAAGTGAAAAAATATTTAATTTGTCTAGCTTTCGAATTTCAGTGCCGAGCTGTCTGAATCGAGTTGCATGAATTGGAATGTTCCATTATTGATGACACTCACCCAATAGGTCTAACTTCTACTTAATTTGCCCTTTTTTCATTAAATAGGTTTATTCTTTTCTTTAGTAGCTGCTCCTTAAATTAAATCATTATATTTTCTTTGGTTTTTATTATTTACAATCGACGTAATAAGCAGTAAAAAGAAAATTTAGGCGTTGATTGATTTACAAAGCTAAACCCAGCCTAAGTTCTTTAATAAGATTTTGTGTTTGCACAATGCCCTAATTTGCAGGACCAACAGTTTTTCAAACAGATTTTGAAATTAGGCCCTGTTGTTGCACAGGCTTTTAATGTTTGTAGGCCCTAGAATTTGTAATAAACCTGCATCTATGATAATCTATCCCCTGCATCTGTGATTATCTATTTCCTTTATTCAATTTAGAGAAGAATAGCAAACAGTTCTTGAATTCTTTGGCCAAGCTTTGTTTTTGTTTATACAATAAATTTCAGCCAAACATCCTCTCTTTTAAATAAGGAACAGGTCATAACATGTCATACAAATAATTATAACATTGCATGCCAATTGTATAACATGTTGAATTTTCATTTTTGTGGTAAAATGGATGCTTTTTGATCTTGTTGATGCCTTGTTTAAATTTTAACATGTTATAATCGTAACGTAATTGTAACAAACAATCTTAACAGTGCATAGTAATAATCTTGTTGTGGCAAAAATAGCCGAATCTGGTGATAAAAGTTCTATTTCATTTGCAGCAATATGTAGTAGCAACATTGATCAATTCAAATTTATTTTTTATCATGTATCTTGTAAAAAAATAAATACATCTCTCATTTTTGTAGCACCAGATATCAGATGTTATAAATTCTATTGTAATTCTATTTTCTATTTTTACTGTAAATTTTGCAGTCGTCAGCTCAAACTTCTGCCCATGGACCTAACAGTATGTCAATCAAACACTAGGCTCTTCTTCGTGTGTAAACTCTGCTTAGCTGATACCAAAATTTTTCTCACCTGCAGTTACTCAACAGAATTTGCAATATCTTTTTGCTCTGTTCTCTTTTAGGCAAGTCTACTTATATCATTGCCTGAATTCAGATCAGCAGACAAGTCTGACTTCTCAATGATTTTGAAGAAATATGAGATTCTTGTTTATTATGGGGATGCATTTTATGTCGATGAGGAGTTCAGAAGAGCTGAGGTATCGTATTATGATATTTTTTGTTTTGCCCACTTTATTTTTCAAAACTCTTGTGAATTTTCCACTGTAGGGGGAGGGCATAGTGGCAATGTCCACCTACTTTTTTGCAAAGCCCTCCTTAAATTAATTGAAATTAAAATGAAATGAATTAGCTATCTTGTTATTTCTTTGAAAGTATCAATGTCTGACATATATCTGATGAAAAAATCTTGCTGTGTAACTTAGTCTTTGAAACCTGTCCTGACCCTGCAGGATGTTGGGAACAGGTGGCCAGTTCTTTTTGCTATTGTACCGTAAATCCTCGAATTAACCCCTGGGGGCTTTGCAATTAGCCCCTTGATATTTTTGGGGGCTTATACAATTATTGTAGACATTGAAAAGATATTATTGAAAGACCTCGTTTAAATTTTAGTAGGAATTTCTTTATGAGCATTTAATTAATCTCTACCAAAAGTATGGATTTGTTGTGGCAAGTCAATAAAAACGCCATAGGCAACCTCAGATGGCAAAAATCATCAAATTGAGGGGTCCAATTTGAGAATTTATGGTAGCAATGGGGGCTTATTCAAGGGGGGGTCTTATTGGCAATTTGTAGCTCTAGGGTGCAGGCTTATTCAAAGGGGGGGAGTCCTGTTACAAAAGTGTGAGAAGAGAAGAAGTATCAAGATACAGTTACAAATCTGGGTTTAAATCCACTGCACTAGTATTTGTTTTGAATCTAGAGCACAAGTTGCAGTGCTGCAATAGCTCTATTTTGCCTTAGAAAATTCAAATGTTCAGTTTAACTTCTAACTAAATGACAATCCTTGTTTTTTACTCACAATAGAGTACCAAAGTGTGGCATCATCAAAAATCTATTTTTAGAATTTCTTAAATTTGACCACATAATCTGAAAGAACAGCATGAAATACCTCTCAGTATGCAAAATCAGTTATATATATTCGAAATTGTGCGAGATGTGGCCAATGAAGAACTTCAAGTTTGCTAACAGATTGATGTTATTCTCACCTGGTTCATAAAGATATGAACCAAGACCAAATTACAAAGGTTTCATGGGGCAAGAGCCCGTGCTCATGTGGCCATATCTCCTCTAATTTGAAACACTTTCTACTGATTTGGCACATTTAGAGGTATTTCATGAATGCTCTTTCAGGTTATGGAATCAAAAGTGAACAATTCTAAAAATAGAATGTTGTGACGTCATCACTTTGGTACTCTATTGGTTGCAACTTGAAAGTTTGCACTTCAGTTTTTTTGGATTATTTTCCTTTTTTATATTCTGATATTCATTATGTTTACTTGTTTTCAGCACTACTACAATGAAGCATTGAGGCAAAGAAGAATACTTGTCAAAATTAAACCAAAGACAACATCTCTGCAGGTTTATAACATCGTTTTTGAAGTGTTTCTGCAATTTCTGATCATGTATTTTCAAATTGAAGTGCTTTTGTCAGATTTTTTGCAGCAGATCTTCTGAAAATTCATAACAGCGCAATCCATTGTCTATGCCATCAAATCAAGTAACTCAAGGAAGGGCTGTCAGAAATGGAGGGGGGTTGGGGGCTGGGGGCTGGATCCCCCCAATTATTGTCAAATTGTAATATTTTTCCATTAAACAGTGTACTGAATGGGAAGCAATACAATAGGGAGCCCCCCTCATTATGAATTTCCTTCTGACAGCACTGCAAGGAGTCACACTCGTTCCCTTCTTGTCCATCCACACTAGTTGATTCTCTCATACCATATAGACCGTTCACCTTCAACATTTCACGTGAGCTGTCAATCGTGCACTTAAAATGTTTTGTGGAGCCAGTTGAAAATAAGAAACAAGAGAATTTTTGACAAATATGAAAAATCGATCGACCACATTTTATTAGAAGACTTGACATGTGTTCACCAAAAGTAACAAGAGTACGGAAATAATCAAAATGGTTAAGGAAGCAAGTCATCAAATTCTGTTTGGGGGGGGGGGGGCTGGGTCCGTTTTTGCAGGTGCCTTCGAGATAAGTTTCCACTTTCAATTCATAAAGAAATGAATTCTTTGAAATGTACCATACGATTTAACCACAATGAAAAACTAGGACAGGTTTAGGCGCATGACACGATCGTTAAGGGACAAATCTAGAATCGCCATTGCCTTTTGAAGCAATCATATCGTTTTCAAAAGATTTTATATGAACAATTTCACGCACTGCTTCGGTCTTGCCCGTGCGATTGACTGCTCGTGTGACCAGATCTGGGCGCTGTCCTGCGAGCGTCCCATTGTAGAGCCTAAGATATCAGTGACATCGCCTTAGTTGATATAGAGGATAACCCGTTATAAGTCATCATCTTTAGATATGTTTTTTTCTGTATTTTCACCATTCATGTAAACTAGGCACATAGTTGCTGGAACGAAAGTTTCCAGATCAATGCTCAACTCAATTTTTCTACATTTGTAGACTTTTTTCATTTTAGGCCGTAGATTCAGAAGTCGAGTTAAAGTTCAAGATTTACCAATGTCATATGAAGCTTCGAGAGTTCCGAGATGCGATTTCTATTGTGAGTGTTTTTTGAGATAATTTTTTTACATCAAAAACTTGGGTACAACAATCATTTTGTATACTGGCTAATAATACTGTGATCAAGTTGTTGATTTGTGACATCTGGCTACCAGGCTCTAAGGTGGTCCTATGTTTCGGTTGAACATTTGTAATAATGTAAGCTTTTGACAAGCCAAATTAAAATCAGTATTGTATGGTTTCAGAAGCCAGCGTATATCCAGCAGTACATCTTTGAGTTAGGTGACAAATTCGTATTTTTGACAAGGGATATTATGATGAAAAAAAAAAAATTTATACCCAGTTGTGGATCGAAATAGGCCAATAAAAAACGCGAGCGCATAACTGGTATGGTTGTTAAACCAGGTGGTCAACCTCTGCAACGTCATTGTGATACTTGACAATTTCAAAGTTTAAGAGAATTAAAGGTTACTAGTTGTCAATAATAACATTTAGTTTTAATGATTTTATTCAATTAATTTGTTGATTAAAGAGCTCTCCGCCATTATTTTGCATATGTTGCTTAAGGTTTATCATTTGTTAATTACTTGTTGATAGGAGAATCCAACAGGAAGTTATCTGTTACAACTGTTACGACTTTCATTTATTTTCAACGTATTCAAATTTTTGACAGCTCGAGGGTATTTCGCTAAAACAGAGGTCGCCAAAAGTGAACGTTGCGCTAGCCAAGCTGTACCAAAAGCAAGGAATGGAAAGGTAAAATTAATAGAGGTCTTTCTTCTTAGCCAATTTATTGCTATAGGGGGCAAAATTGAACCCTGTTGAATATTTTCTGTTCACTCATCCACTTCTTTTTATGTCCATGCCCCCTCTTACGTTATTCTTCTACCGCAATATTCATCTTCTTTTTCCCCGTTTACCATGAGCTTCTCTTCTCGTATTTCTTTTTATTGAGTTATTTTTCTCTCTCTTCACTTACTTGTTGATTCACCTCAATCCTTTCATACTGATTCCCTAACCTTTCATTCATTGATTTCACCATTCATCATGTATTTTTCCATCGCATTCATTTTTCGCTTATCCTTTTTCATTTCTGTCTTGCCTACCTCAATGGCACAACCGTTTCGCTCACATCCTTAGTGTTTAACATAGCTTCGAGCAAGTTTTGCTTTGGTAAGTAGACTAAAGCGACTTTGGATACTAAAATGGAACATACAAATAATTTTGTACGCCATGTGAATCCTAAAGCTAGTTGTGGTTGCTTTCAATTGCTCGCATTTCCAACTCAATCAAATCGTACGTAGGCCTGGGAAGAATGACACGAAAAATATTGTGAACTTGGTTTCCTTGTTTTGCTTTGATTTCTTCATAAAATGTTTAGACACTATTTTTTCATTGTAGATCTGCAATAACGTGTTATAAAGAAGTTCTCAGGTAAGACTCTATTTTTGGCTGCCTCCGCTACAGATGAGGGATTTGGTGTCACCGTATTTGGAAAATAACTTTGGTCTTGATCGCAACCTGCTCTTGGACTGGGCGTTCTTCACTGACAGGTTAATGAAGACCAATGAAAATTGAAAAGTGCCGGAAGACGAACCCGTTTATTCGCGGTTCGAAAACACATATATTGAAAAATTGTGCATGATATATGCATCTTCAATCATTCTTTAACTCATTAATCTCACTTCATTTTTCGTAATGTTAGTTACTAAAAGGAAGCTTTTTGAAAAAGGACTCTCAAATTGAATACCTAATTGAATATCTCATATTACCGCATGCAAGCCCAACCTGTATTCAGGCCCACCCTTATCCAGGCCCACCCTTTATTCAGGCCCACCCTTTATTCAAGCCCTTTCTGTGTCCAAGCCAACCCTAATTTACTTGAATATCAGAGACAGAATTTAAGACTGATAAAAACGCATTTAATCTATTTGATCTTTCCTTGGCTGTTTGACCTTTCGAAAAATGCAGAAATGTCTAAACTCGCCTCCAAGTCCTTAGGCCATAGCATAAGGGGTTTTCGGTTAAGCATCTAACAATTCATTCAAGTTTCAAGACTTGCACATAAGCTTCAGTCCACGAAGCTTGATTCAGTCAAGCTACAATCAAGGTTCCGTCAACTTACAAACAGTTTGGTATCAAAAATGTCTTCGCGCAGTTAAAAATATGCGAATCATGTTAAAATTATACTCTTAGACACCACGGCTATAACGAATTGTGGTTCTGGTTCCATGAGTGTCCTCTTGGGTTTCACTGTGCTACATATTTTTTTTGAATACTCTTCATTTTCTTACCTGTTTCCAACTCATGAAGAAGGAGGCTTTTTAATACTTTGCAGGGCCTGTCCTTTTGCATTGGATGCCATCACAAATGTCCTCTTTCTTGGTGTTCCACTGCAAGAGGTTTTGTCACTTTTGAATATGCCACAGTCAAGTGCTGCTGGTGCCATACCTGAATGGTAAGTCCGAATTACCGATTTTTGAAACATTGTTTAGTAAAGCTACAATGCCTGCCAAAAGTACTTCGAGCACCTAGCAATTTACGCTGCATTCATGAAAAGAAAATTACTACTTCCGCCCCCTTCCCCCTAAAACAATGTTGATAATTTAGAGAAATATCGTAGAAGAAGCGCAAAAGAAAGTGCTTCCTAAAATCCTAAGCCGTTTGATAGTAAACCAACATTGTTCTGTAGGGGAGAGGGGGATGATTGATTTTGACCTTGGAAATTGACGTCAGTGTTCCAAGACTTTTGGCAGGCATTGTAGGATACCAAAATGAGAAGTTTCATGATGTAACATGAACGAAAATAGCCTGAGTGTTGCATTTAGAGTTTTGCTCTGCAGTTGGAGAAAAACGGAACCCTCCCCTGTTCAATGTTTTAATTTTTTTAAAAACCTTTTCGCTCCTCATTAAAACCCTTGTTTAATTGACAAAGCATTTAACCAAAATAGGACGTATTGACGTTCTATTGTTTCACTGTAAATTTCAAACTGCTGTGCTCATCTGTAATCAAGATACTTTCATTCGATTAACTATTGTTTGCTCGTCAAGGTTTAGGCAGAAGAAACCAACTTTTAGTTTACATAATGTTTTGGACGTAAGCTCCTTCTTTTATTAAAATCCCCGCTTCGTTAAGTTTTGGACCTGCCTATGACCTCCCTCTCGTTTATTTAAACCTTCCAATTATTCCCAACTTCAGAATAAATAGTTTACCTTTAACTCACAATTGCGGCAGGTTAGGTTTTTATGCCAAACCTAAACAATTCTAACTGAATTGGTTAATATTACATTGATAGGGCTCTGAGTTTCTGCAACTCGAAAATATAATTGATCTGTTCATTTTTGCTACAGGATATCATCTTTTATGAAAGGCCAATCATTTGCTTCACTCAACAAGCATACAAGTAAGTGCTTTTAGGTATAGCTGTGATTAATTGCTAAATAATGCCTATTCGATATGTTGTGCGACCTTTTCGGCATTTCCCTGTAATACCCCACGATGCACCTTGCATACTGAAGCAGAAACATCAACGAGGTCTACAGCGATGGCAGTAATTGAAATGGAACCTATTGATGTAACATTTGTGGTTAAACTAAATGGCATATGATTAGTGGAATTAATGGATTCACGACTCTTGTCACTCGGCTGCTAGACAGTAAAGTCTCTTTGATAAATCAATCTTTCATTCCACGTATCAGAAATCTTATGCCTGTTTCCTAATGATCGCATTAAGTGTGGAACTCGGAATAAAAACTTCCCTGTTCTATGCACCGAGCGTGTACAGCTCTAGCTTACTGAGCAATTTACGAAAGACCGGTAAACAGTTATTTATATTATCAGAAACCTTATATATTATTTATCTGTGATGTTTCAGAAGCTGCGCAAGTCTTCAGAAACTTAGAGACGAAGGTAAGTAAATTTTTAAAAGTAAGATTTCTTCGTAAATCTTAGATTGGTATATTTTTATTCATTTGGAGGAAAAAAGTTCCACTGGTCAATTTTTATATTAATTCAACATATAAAAAGGACAAATTACCGTGCAATATCACTGAGCCATTTTAATGGGGGTGACCAAATGAATTCAACATTAGGCTTTGCAAGCATTTTGGGTATTGTTCACGTGGAAGCGGGATTCGTTTATTCAATGCTTTATGGCGTTTCACGTTGTGTTGTGCCGTCACAATTTCATAATCTTTTGACAAAGAAAGCAGACCATTGATATTTATGCACTGTAGTTTGCAGAATAGCGTTTTAAAGTGATGACATCACATAAATCTATGTTTAGAATTTTAGAATTTGAGTGACATAGCCAGAAAAAGCATCATGAAGTACCACATCAGTCAGTTTTCTGTATTCAAATTTGCTAAGATATAGCCACACGAGGACAGGTTCTTTCCTTATTAAATCTTTGTTGTTTACTCTTGGTAAAAATATCTGTGGACTAAGCCAAAATAAAAGTAATCTGTTAGCAACCATCAAATCTTTCATTGGCCCTACCTCACCCAATATTCATTATATTTAACCAATTTTTGTGAATTTGGCATCCTTTGAGGTTATGTGGTCAAAAGTAAAAAGTTAATGAAATATAAATTTATGACGTCACACTCTAGAAGCGTATAGCTACCTCTTCATATCACCAAATTTCAGTCGTTTAACTGTGAGGTTGTAATTAGCAATCTCAGTCTTTCTTCTGTGTGAAAGCATTTATCAAAATACCCACCATTTCGGAGATGTTAGCAAGTGATATGTATTTTAGGTACTTAGAGACAGCGTCAGCGTCCTTTGTTGCCAGGCAGAATCGTGTTGGAGATCTGGGGACAAAGTTAACGCGGTTAATTGTTACAAGAGGGTAAGTAGATTTGAACTTTTCTGCTTTGAAAGATTTTGCAGCTCAATTTTAAGTTTTCAATCATTATCTCCCAAGTTATCCGACGACTATGTAAAAGTATACGGAAGTAAGCTTGCATTTCATAAGAAACCTTGCATAAATCAACATATTCTTCAAGGTGGATGTGTTTCTATAAATCTATGTTTTACACACGCAGATAAGGGCGCTGGATCCGACTTGTCTTCAAGGTATGGACATTTATTCCCACATATTAGCCGAAGATTTTGAAACCAGCGAACTTGAAACGTGAGTTTACAGAACTTTGTTGCAATTCGCTCTAGTTTATATTAGAGTAAATAAGCAGTTACATATAAGGGTATTTTAAACTCTTGTAGTTTGACGTTCATATAATAGCCTCATTTTCAAGCTGAGTTCCAGTTTAAAATCGTGATTGCAAATGTTTCATCTCGGCTGTGCTATTTTGACATAAAGTTTTTGTGCCAAAATTAATCACTAGAAAAACAATATTTAAAAAAGGAGCCAACAGCAAATATTTGATTTTTCAAATGTCGCTTTAAGTGAATTTTTTCATTCAATTTTTTCTATTTTGCTTGATTTGCTTGATTCTTCCATTTTTGCTTGATTTTGCTTTTTAGAATTTGCCAGTAATGTTAAATAGAAAAACGGGCTCAGATTAAACATATTTAAGAAGCGCCGAAATCTTGCTTGAAAAGTTAGTCTGACTTAATGTAATTGTGAAGATTCTCTATCAGCTAGGATATATTCAAATGTATTCTTGTTTTTCAGTCTTGCTCAGGATTTAACGCGAGTCAGTCAAATAAAAACAGAACCATGGATAGCAATGGCCCAATATTGCACTTGTACTAATAGAAAAACTAGAGCAGTTTATTTCGCTCAAAAGGTAAGAATAAATTCATGGATTCGATGTCATTCTAGCTCAAAGGCATTGAGTCGTGTTAAATAGGCCTTCTCTATAGGGGGTCATTTGGTTTCGGCGTGATCACTGCCGATTCATGTGATCCTTGCATCCGTTGTTGACAACTTGCTATTGATGAAAATTGCTTTGTCAATCAGTACGAGGTGAGTTCATGTGACCAGTTCAAGGTCAACCAATAGCATTGCAGTCATGAAAATCATGACTCAGTGGATTTTGGCACTTAGGGTATACCCTATCCATTTTATCATGACTCAATGCCTTTAAGTTCTTGGTTAACTAATTCTGTCGAAGTCTATAGCAAATGTGAGTTTTGTGTAAAACCCGCACGTAATGAAAGTGATCGGTAAACCCTATTATGGCAATTAACCCGGATTTGACCCAGGTTAATGCATAGTTAGCAGAACGACTTTGGTTTCCAACTATGATTGACCAAGATTTGATTTTGCTTTGTTAAATCCAACTATCCTTGTTTGATTTGATATAAACTTCTTTGTAACTTCACCTTCCTTCAAAGGCTATTTTCGTTGAAATCATCGTTTTTGGTAACGTTTTATGTTTATAAAAATTTCATGTATATATATCTTTGTCTATCGTCATAAAATACAGAAACAGTAGCTACATTCTAGCTGATACCTTTTCATTTTCATTCTACCTGATTGGGATGTCTTTATTTCTGCACAAAATATACCTGACTGCATTATGTACAAAGTCTTCGGTAATTTATTTCCAATCTTTCCAAGGCTCATATGATCGATACGAGAAATGTTCAGGCTTTATTGCTAAAAGGTGAGTATCAGATACTGTTTTTTCCGACACAATATGTTTTAAGAGATGTAGAAAAACTTCTGCAATCAATTGTGGAACACTAGTGTTGGCTTGGCAATAAATATTTTGTTATATAACAAACAAACAAACAAACAAACAATAAAATAAACAAATATTCCACACAAATATGTCCTGCCATTTCAACCATTGCTATGATGAAGTTAGTAGATATTTAAAAGAAGTGTTTTTTCGAAGTAGGACTCCGCTGCACTGTTTGTTCAAAAAGCATTCGGACATTATCACACCAAAAGGCACAGCATTAGCATTAAACAGTCATGGCACATTGTAGCGATGAAAATAAGGATTATATTTGCTTATGGATAGGCTGCATTCGTGTGCACACCATTATTCCAGGCCTAAAGTTGTTCCAAGTGTTTTAATAGATTTTCAGCATTTGTATTAGGTCGGTTAATTACCATACAGGCATTCACATATCTTCTATGTTCTGTATTTTGCAGCTTCATTGCTCCAATCATTGAATAAACAAAACGAGGCTTTGATGCACTATAGAGAGGCTATTCGCTTAGCGCCTACATATTTCGAAGCATATCAAGGTATTTTTCTAGTCTCACTCTACGACCCTCTGTTTCACCAGTCCCCACTTTATAGACGCCACAACAACCCGAGCACCTATCATTTCAATTCAGTAGCGTTATTTGCAACTAATGGAGTAAATCTAGCAATTATGAATTATTTTATAGGCCTATGTCAATCATTACTCTTTTGTTGAGGAAAAAACATTAAATTGGCCATCCACTCTACTCCTTGAATCTTGCGATTAAAGTTATGTTCACATTGCTCCGTATTCGTTTTTATCAGTTTTTATATCGATCCGTTTTACCTGTTCACACTGCTCTGGATACATTTGATTACGGTGTGAAAACGATGAAGCGTTCACATTGCTCCGCTCTGGATAAAAAGGAAAACGCCACGAACTGGTTTACAGACCTTGCGACTACTAATAAACATTCACTGCCACTAATATTCCTCCAAGTAGTGTACTAATTTCGAGTGAATCAGCCATGTTAAGAAAAGTTGTTCAAATTGGTGCGGTCTAAGCATCTTTCTGTGTTGTTGTTGTTTTTGTTATCGTTTTCAAAAGTATCCGTTTTCGGTGTTCACACTGCGTTTTGCGTTTTCGAAAGTCTCCGTTTTCAAAAGTCTCCGTTTTCAAAGTGCGTGTTCAAGAATCTCCGTTTTCGCAGCGGAGCAGTGTGAACGCAAACGGATACTTTTATCCGTTTTCATTGGAATTCGGAGCAATGTAAACGGGGCCTAAATTAACGATGAAAGTATGTAGTATGGCCGCGAGTCGTCAAGTTCAATACGATTCAACGACTCGCAGAAGGAAAACATCCCAAATAGATTTCATTTTGTCGCAGTTTCATTAGTTTTGCAGTGAAGGGTTCTATAGCCTCTATTCTATGCAAGCCTCTTTTAGTTGGATTTATGCGTTAGTTCGTCCTTTGCTTTGCTAACATAGGAAAACTTAGTTTACGGTGTTATTATGTTACATAGGTTTGGTGGATTGTTACCTGTCATTTTGGCAGCAAAGAGAGGCAATGACCATTGCACGAAACGCACTCAAAACGATTGGCACAAACGCTAGGACACTCACTGTAAGTATGTCCACGCCTGCTTGTTAAACCGTTGTATTTGATTTTGACTTAGTTATTAAGCGTTGTCAACGATCCCTTTTTGCTCTCTAAAATCGAAACGAACACCTCTATTAATGGACATCTTATGGTGGAGACTTCTAGACGAGAAGTAAAAATTTCAATTCCAAAATGTCTTCTTAACAGTCAATGCATTTAGAATTCCCCTTTTGAACAGCCGGCTCGAAGTATTCTTTACAAGTATTTTCTAACAAAATTTAAAGCTTTCGACCGGTGCTACTTTGACTATATTTGTTCAGTTTTAACCTTCTGGTAACTTTCTTTCTTCCTTTAATGGTCTCATTAAAATCATTTAACTTAAAAAATTTCTTTTCATTTCATTTTCATTCTTTATTCACGATAACCCCGTCGGCAAAGGCCGCTTTTCAAGGGGCCGTGAAAAAAGATTAAAATCTACAATTTACAATTAGTAGGCATGAGAATCGCTCAGTAGCTAGTGTCCTGGACTATATATTGAAGGATCTGGTGTTCTTGTCCCTTCTGTAACCAAACTTTCACTTAGAGTGAAGCGAAGGGATCACGAGGTGTGGTCACATCGAGAGGAAGGACCAATACAGGGCACTGCTCGATAAGCAAAGCCTCCAAGTGTCCTAAAAACTACCTTTGAAAGCTTAATAGAAACAAAAACAGTTATCAATGCCATTTTAATTTTTTTGAAACTTGCTATTTAAGATATATTGTTATTTAATTGACATCTTCTCCAATCAACAGCTCTACGCACAGGTTCTGAAAAAAGATGCTCAAGGAACCGATAAGGTTGGCCTATCCTCATAAACTTCAATCATATCAACGAATTTCAATTTGACCTCGCTAAAGTGCACATTTTCTGATGTTTTTGTGAAAGCTAATAAGTGTAGTTACTAAGTATACTCATGTATTAATTCTTCAACATTTCTACCGGATTTTTCAAAACAATGGATTAAGCCGAGAGAATATTTGCTGCACAACAAAATCAATTCTAAGATTTTTCTTAACATAGACGTTTTCTTAAATTATGTTTCCATATAATTAAAGACAGCATACCATGTTGCAACCCTGTGATAATTTTTTTTTTGAGAAAGGGTTATTTTGAATGTTTTTTTAACTCCGATGTACGCCTTAAAGGTTGGTAATTTGACTACTTGATTATTGCGTTATCCCTCTCAAATCGAACATTTTATAGCTATCTATATCAAGGGTGGCTCTAGGGAAAGCTAATGCCCCCCTGTCCGAGTATGCAAACCCCTTCCTTGCTAGTTGAAGGTCAAAATCAAACACGTCGTTATAAGCCTCAATTGAAGAAGCAATTTAGCCCCCTCCCTGTTGGAGGACAAAGCCCCTCGGTTGGAAAATTTCTGGCGCCGCGACTGATTTGTCCTAAGAACTTTCAACTTTAGACAAAGTTCCCGAAATCATATCTTACTTTTTACACCGGACTTTTTTGCAGGCCAAAACGATGTTGGAAAAAGCTCTGGCCAACAACCCATCATTTCTACCCGCTGCGTATCTGCTTGTCGAAATATTAATGAAAGCAAGACATTTTGAGTCCGCCATTGTCGTGTAAGACTTTTCCAAGAATTTTTTTCTCTGTACTTTTTTGATATTATCATGATACTTTAAAGATACGAGAAATCGTTCGAACGATTCGAATTGCGATTTTTCATTGCCTTCTATTCACCTCAGATTGTCAATTGATGTAGTGATGTAGTGGTGTAGTTGTGTAGTGGAGACAATTGAAACAAAAGACGAAGGCCGAGATCATGTAGCAAGGTGTCTGCGATATTAAGAGAGGGATACACCCCTCTTGCCCCTTAGCCATTCAATCTCTCTTATTCTTGTAAAAGTTTTGGTATGATTCGCGATTCTGGTAGAGTATTTTTCGAAGCATCATCGACGTCTGGGGCAGTCCAACTTCGTGCCATGTTGGCAAACCGAACAAACCAATAAAATGTTTCTCTGTCGCTCCGAAGGCGCATCCCCTGTCTACCAGTCGTCCGGGCGTCTATTATTCACAAAAAACGGATCTAAATGTTTTAATTTTTTTATGTTAAACCAATCATAGCCGTGACAAATGTCCTTTAACCTTCATTTATTGTGGTTTATTTCTCATTTTTATTCCAGTTACTCTTTCTGTAAATGTATATTCATACAGTGGATTCTCGGAGTAGGTAACCAGAATAGTAATTCGTTATAACAGGAAGTGATTTACGGTCCTACTGTTTCATTTTTTAGGCTTCGAAAGCAACTGGAGCTGCAGCCGACGGCCAGACTGCACCAATCGCTGGGTGACTGCCTGCGAGAGAAGAATCTCAGAGCAGAAGCATTGGAGCATTATAACAAGGCATTATGGTGAGCTGCCCTTATCATACATTTACGCATCAAAATGTTTTTGGCTTTCCAGTGACAGTCCCTCCATCCAGATTGATATGTTTCAACAAAAATTCCAATCCACCCCCTGGCCCCTCCCTGCTTATTTATTTTAAGCCTCATTATTAGTTATGTTCTTACGACAATCAAATGTTTCAAGGCACCCCAAAATCGTTTAATATCGTTATTGTCTATCTCGCAGAAATTATTTCTAAGTAGGGACGCATTTATTGACGCATTTATTGATAACTTTCGTAAAATTACATAAGTTCGTTAACGTCGATTCATTTCTATTTTAAAATCTGATTTTGTCTTACTTTATGTCTTTTTCCTGTTTATTGGCATGTAAAGAGCCCCTCCTCCCCCTTCTCCTAAAGAAGACTCGCCGTCAAAATATCATCACATAATAAAATGAATGTTATGTATAAAATGTATATGCCTGAAATTTTGATAACAAATTACGCATAATACATTTGATTGTCAGCTTGTCACAGTGTCCTGTCAAAAGCCTTGATGACATGAAAAATACAGAAATTGTTCTTTCGAAAGAGGCTGAATCCGCCGAAATTAATTTTTCACCTCAAGACTCATCGTACCAAAATGATGTTCCTGACGAAGTGAGTTTTCACTTTTTCCTGACTCAGTCTAAATGAATGGAAATTTAATTTATAAATATTTACCGAAAAAGCAGAAACATTCTCTAACCTATTTCACGGCACTAGGTCTTATAAAACTTCGGTAACAATCTTAAGTTCCATTGGAAAATTATACAATAGCCTATTGTTACATATTCCAATTGGTGCTCATTTCTTATGGAGTTCAAAGATGAAACAAAACTGAAGAAATTAACAACAAAGAGACGGCTATTTGATTCATCAATTAAGGTCAGACGAGAAAGGGTCATGCTTGCTGACAAAGGATCCCTGAATTTGGACCCAGTTTCTCCTACCCTTTCTGTGCATGTCGTTTTTCTGTAATGCTATTTCACCCTAGAAAGTTATACTTTATTACAGGTACACCATCTTATTTTGTGTGAAGCCTTGATGTTTTTAAGAAACGCTAAATTTTGAGCATAAGCATATTCTTAATTCAGTCAAATTCCTTTTAATTGAATATTGTTAAGAATTTTAATTTAAATTTCACAAGAAATGACAGATAAATACTTTTGAAAACATTGGAGCCAGATTTCCACTCTTAATATATCCGTTTATTGCATTTTTCAATATTTTTATGAATCATATTCTTGTCGAAGAAAAAGTGTGCATACAGCTTGCTTTGAACATTCGTATTTTACAATGGTTTGAATATTTGTGTTTTATCTTTTAGATTTTTGACAGTGACCCCCTGGTTGATCAAGATATGCCGGAGGTAACCACATCAAATCAATTTTTACATGTTTGATTCATTGCTTTTATCCTTAATAGATGTTATCAGAAATGGTAGAATACTTAGCAGGTTGAAAATGGTAGAATATTTAGTGTGTAGCAGGTTGCATACCTAGCAACCGTTTTTTATCCACAATTCACTACAATCAATATGGAATTTCTTAGCTATTTCTGCCCTGACCAAAAGGACCTTGGTCTGATGATAGAAAAGGTTTATGGAAATGTAGCGACCTGTTTCCCTGGCAGTCTGACTCCTTTCTTTGCTTAGAATAATCTTCTTCAAATAATCAAGACATTATATCCCAATGCCTCGAAACCAACACTGAACTTGTATGACGTAAAAGAGGCCAGTTGATGCTTGATTGCAGTTTTGATGTTAACGAAGGTTTATTCTTAGAATCTTTTAATTCAAGCAATTTCATCTGGAAGGTCCCAACAACTTGTCTAAAATATGCTAAATCAATTAAATAAGTCACAAATAAAGTTGAAACTGCTCCGTGAATTTTTCTAACCTGGATAAATGACCCAAAGTTTACTAAGGTAGTGCTGCTATTTTGATTTGATTCATACATTCATTTGAAAACACGAGGCTGTGCTCGTTATTTCTATACCTCAAACAATGTAGATTTGAATATTCCATACCCACTGTTTTATTATTTAATGCTATTTAAGATTATTCTGCAGAACTTATGAGTATGGATTTTATGACGTCATACTTCACATCTCTTCTTCCCGTCATTCTGATACCATACCTGACTGCCTATCTCTTCCTCGCAGTGGCTATAGCACGTGACATTCCAGAAGAACAAATGTTCAGTGGCATGTTGGAGTTGATGTTGTTTGGCGGCTTCTCTAGTTATTTCCGAGAAAAGTTCTGCAAAAGGCTGTTACAAAATTTGATACCCTTCAAATTTGCATGTTCCTTCATTAACCTTAATAGCTTACAAAGTGAAATTTTTTAATTGCATGTTATTTGTGAAGTTTGTCAAACAATCGCAAGGGCATCAAGCATTGGATAAAAAGCAAAAAATTAGCCTGGTCTTTACTTTTACGCACAAAGGTTGTTCTATTATTAAGAGGTTCCATTTTTTAGGATACGCGAACGATTGATTCTTAAATTTCTTTCTCAATTACTTATGGAGTTGTAAATAGAAAAGGTTAATTTCACACAATACGTGGTATCTAAACAATTTAAATATTTAATCTTAGATATATTCGTGGTGGCTTATCCGTTGACATAAATAATCTAACATATGTAACTAATGAAGAACCTTTTACTTCAAAAGCAAATTCTAAACTTGCTTTGATTAGTTCACGTTTTAGGACCCCTTATATTTCGTCTTCAAAGTAGTGTTGCTTTAATTCGTTTTTATATCATTTAATGTTGTTTTTATTAGATCATTTGTAAAGCTTTCATCTATTTTTATTGTATAGTGTAAAAATTAGAACAAAATTACAGCAGGGCCCTGAAACCGAGTCGAGATTGGCTCTCATAATGTCAAAATCATGTAATGATAGGGTGACGCTGGGGGAAGGGGGATTTGGTGTATCAATGTATGTCGAAAAGTTCCCTTTCTTTATGTTGGTGTTTGAGATATTTCTTGTGGAAGCCACTCCCCCCCCCCAACCCTCCCCCTCCACGCTGTCGATATTATCCCATGAAAAAAATTCCGGTATGATGGACCGAAGCGCTGTTGTGGTTCTCGTGTCACGTGTTTTCGTCAATTAGTGTTCCAATCGGCTTTTGGTATACGCAGGTTTTGGTCAACGCCTCAACCCTCCTCCGGGCTACATTTTGCCCAATTTGCCTTCCTCGATATTTGCCTTGTATTTTGAAGAAAATTTTTAGAGATGGAATTTTAAGTAATATCGTCTCTGGTTTGGTCTTAAGGTACTTTACCACTCCAAAAAAGCAATTTTTGGGAGAATTTCACAAATCGAGATTTCATTGCAAAAATGTTCGATCGGTATTCATCATTCAGTGTGCGAGAGGTTTTTGCTATATTTCTACCCGTTTTATTATTAGAGAGGATAAAGTGCGTCATAGTATGACTTTCAGTTGGTTTTTATTGCGAATGTTTGATAAAAGCTCAAGAAAAAAGTCCGTCCCATTCGTGTCAACTTCGTCGGTTTCAGGCAACCTATATATTGATGAAAAGCTAATTTCTCCTCTGTTCGACATCATTGTCAATTTAGGATTGTTTTTAGCTTTTTCTTTTGTTTTAAACTGATTTTCATTGGCCAAATGTTCTGGATCTGGATTGTTTTAGTCTGCCATTTTGACGTTGGTGTGATTTGATTGGTTCACTTTGAACAACAAGCTCTCCCATTGGTCAGGCTGCCTATACTGATCAGCTGACAAGAGTGTTCCGCCATATTTTGTTTTGATAGCCACCAAAGTGAAATTGGAAAAGTTGTAAAATCTAGAAGTCGCAAGCCATCTTTAGGTCGAAGAAAAACTAGAAATTTGCGGACCAAAGTTGCTACGGTTATAAAGGGACATGATAAAGCTTCACAAGACGTTAGCACTGTTATAGGCGTGCAAAGTCAATGTGATGTTTCGACTAGGCCTTCCTCATCGCGAAGCGAAGATGAACATTTTTGGAATTGATCTCGATATATCAGCTGCAAATGACACTTCTAAGAGGGATACTGATTGCTATTTAGTTATTCAAAAGTTGGTTTTGATCCAGCTTTTCAGTCACATTTTGACATTGGGGTTTCATTTGACGGATCAAGGTAGATAAGAGGTCACTCCTCTCATAATGGCCTGACTGCAGTGATAGATTTGGAAACTGGCCTACTTATTGATTTTGAGGTCTTATCAAATTTTTGCATAAAATACAAGATTGCAGAAGATGAAGGTCAAACCGAGGAGTGGGGAGAAAAGCAAACAAGAAATTGTTAAAAAAAATTACAAGGGAACTGCAAATGCAATGGAGGTGGATGTGCCACTCTTGAGAAAATTCTTGAGAAAATTTTTGCAATTCTTTTTCATTTAGCCTCTTCAGATGCCAATCCCAAGCATACACATTGTCCCCCAGGTGCTACTACTGGAGTTTCTGGCAGAGAGACCTTGCAAAAAGCAACAGCCCTGGTAGTCACAAGGCTCATTATACATTGTCACCAGATGTGGCAAAGAAACTTGAACCAATTTTTTAACAGCTTTCGGATTAGGATTTATTGAAAATATGTTCTTGTGATTTGACGCAAGACAGAAATGAATCCTTCAACAGTGTTGAGAATTTGCCCCAAAGCTATTTATGATGGAAGACATACCCTGCAAACAGCTGTCTCAATGGCTGCTTGCCAATTTTCAAAGGGAGCAACATTTAAAACAGTTATTTGCAAATGTTTAGGTACTAAAGCTGGAGAACACATTAGAAAAGCATTTACAATAAAATCTGTCCAGAGGCTAAAAATTTCAAGAAAATCTTCCTTTGAGATAGCAAAGTAAAGAAGAAATAGACTGAATAACAAGGGTACTGCCAAAGAAGTTCAGTAGAAAAAGCAAAAAGGGGAAACATATGCTGAGGGTGACTTCGAATGAACTATAGCAACTTTTCATTAACGTTCATGTTTGAATTTTCTTTTTTGCTGCTGTAATGATATTTATTTGATTTAGTAAAACCAACAAGAAGCTTCAACACAAACTAAAATACCTCAAAATTATAAAAATCATGGGTAGTAATGAGCTTTTGACAACATTCACTAGTTTTGCATTGTTTTTTGCATTCAGATTTTTTAAAAGTCATTTTGTCGCAATCTGTTTTCTGCGTCACTGCCCGACTAGGTCACTGCCTCATTTCATGATAATTTAATCTATACAGTAAAGCTGTATATCAATTTGCTCACTATAAACTGAATAATGCAATAAAGATGTCTGTTTTGATGTATATTTAAAATGAACTTTCAAAACATGGTCTATAAGAATAATGTCATGATGAAATTTTGAGACGGCTGAGTTTAAGTTGCTTTCAAACCAATTAAATGTCAGAAAATCAGAAAAAAATGACATTGTTGCACTAACCAGCTAATAAGGAATGTGTCAATATGAGTTTTATGTGAACCAAAAGTTCTTGAGCAAAATGAGGCATAGCCTAACAGAAAGAATAAAATGTCTATTGTTTGTAGGTTTCCATGGTAACGATGAGCCACACCCAAAAACCAATACCAAATTTGAATTCCCAATGCAAAACTACATATGTTTGTAAATTTGTGAGTCAATAGCTTGCAAAACAACAAAGTTCACATCTCTGAGTGGTAGAGTACCTTAACGCTTTGTCAAGAAAGAAGGAAAGTTAGAAGACAACACTAAATTCTTCGCGCTTTATATTCTCTTTTCAAGTTATGAATTGGCCTTTCTCAAAACTTCTGCTTCTAAAGCTTCTCTCCTTCTCGCAACTCTTATGTTTTCTGGAATCTAGATTTACGTGGCTTATTCCCAGCCGTATATAAAGATTTATATTGTAGCGTTTTCCCTCTTCCTGCTTTCTTTAGACATACACGAGTTCATTCTGATTTGACTATTACAACTAGGGCAAGCGAAACTAAAATTTTACATTCAGAATTCAGTAGAATTTATAATAATGATTCAGTTAGTATTTACTTGATAAAAATTTGAAATTGAGAATTTAACACTTAAAATGTTTTATTTCAAATCATGCGTTTTGCTGTTGTTGCTGTTGTTCTGTCTCAATCAAAATTCGTATAAACGGCCGCCCACATGTGCAATTTCAAGCCTCGTGGAGTTAGATTTTGGTTCATCGATTATTTTATGATATGTTTACATCTTCAATCATACCATGGGTAGAGAGCTCTCTGATTATAACTAATTATAGAAAATGAAATAACAGATTTCTCATAATTAATCGCTTTCACTTCAAAATGCCCCGAACTGAAATACCGCTTCAAGGTTCCGAGTAAAGCTCGGTCCGTGTTGAAATTTCAACGGCCCCGGGTTTTGCTAAATTGTCTGTTTTGTCGGTAAACTTATTTCATTTCATTTCAAATGTTTAAGGAGGGTAGCCCTTCAGCAATGCTGATTTTCAAGGGGCCCTCCACTTATAATACTTACAGAAATTCTTATAAAAAACAAATTATCCTAATTATTCAATACTTACAATCTAAAATAAATCCTAACTTAACTTAATTAAATCCTATTACAATTTACAATTATGCCTATTTACAATTGCGCAGGATATTTTTGAAGTTGCACAAGGAAGATGCCTGTTTACACTCAACTGAGAGGCCATTCCAAGACCTAGCACTTCTAAACGAGAAGCATTTCTGTCCATTTTTGAGTTTTTCTTTGATAGCCTTAGGTCAGTTGATGTATTCCTAAGATTCCTAGAACTTAACTTGGATATTTCTGTGAAAATTTGTGGGCATTAATATCATTTGTGGGCAAATTTGCTTGCTTTTGTGGGCATTGCCCCCCCCTTGAAGAATGAATTTGCGCCACTGATTAAGCCCCACTCTTACATGTCAATTTTTAAAATATATAACTTTAGTCTATGATAAATTATATATTCAATAGAAAATGATTACAACATTCTAAATGGTTCATAATGCATTTTGTCAATATCGATTTGCAGAATATTAATTCAAAGTGAACTTTAAAATAAGTGAAAAACCTTTCTAAACGATCTTATGTCATAGTAATTTAACTGACAAGATCCCAGCTGCAAATCACTCTATGGCAGAAATCGGTAAATCCTAAGAAATTATTTTGTTTTTGTGGGAATCTAGTATTTTCGTTACAAAAATGAATTGCTTCTCGATAATGCGACAACCATTGTAGTCCAAGTAATTTATGTCGCTAAAAGGTTCGTTTTACTTCTCCTTTTAACCCACCAGTTTGAGAATTTTCCGACAGAACAATAATTTTTACGAAAATCTGTCAAAATTCGGAAGCAGAGGGGGCCACGACGCCCTGAGGCTTCCAAAGTTCAATTCTTCTTACACAAATACCATATTAACATCCACTATCATAGCAAATTTTGAAAATTCTTAAAATAGTTTTTTGTGACGTCACACTTTAGAACTCTATTACCCAAAACTTTTGTTCTACACGCAAATATTATTACAAGGAGAAAAGGCAACCTCTCCAAAGGACTTTCGAAAAAAGCTCCTTAGCAAAGAAGTAAAGTCAGCTATACACCCATTTTATTCTTTACCAAACCCTCCATAACCATCTCAAGGATCATATTTTCTCAACGTAAGAAATCTGGGTACAATTTCTTTTCTAGGTAAAAACCTTAGATATTGTGCTATCAAAGATGTTTGAAGTTCCTTTTAATTACTTTTCAAAATAATGAATGCTATTTGGCTCTGGGTGGCTCTGGGTGGCTCTGGGTGGCTCTGGGTGGCTCTGGGTGGCTCTGGGGGGCTCTGGGTGGCTCTGGGTGGCTCTGGGTGGCTCTGGGTGGCTCTGGGTGGCTCTGGGTGGCTCTGAAAAGCCCTGGAGTTGGGATGTTCAACTGTTTGGTAATGTCAATTTGCAAATACTTTGAAGCTCCGATGAGAGAAACGAGGATTCCATTAAATGACAAAGAATTAGGCATGACCATGACACTTGTACTTTTATAAAGTTTAAATTAGGAACTATTTTGCGAGGGAAATGATGGACGCCCATAGCCCTTGGTTTCTTTGACTTCTGAGGAAGGTGT